TTTCTAACTTTTAATTTAATTTATTTTGCTTTTAAAACCGAAGTAAAAAGATAATATTTTAATGAAATAAAAACGTGAAATTATTTTGCATATAGATATTGTACGATCTGGTATTTTAAAAGTATATAATTTTAATTTTTTATAACAAAAGCACGTTTTTTATTACAGAGATTTCCAATTTCAATTTATTTTTAGAGAACTTTTCTCTTAGAGAGCTTTTGCTCAGACCTCAAAATTGATTTTTTTTATCGCAGAAAACTAACAATAATGCTATTGATATTATTAGAAGTATAAAATCTTTAACATCACAAACACATTTGTTCCTTTTTTTAATAAAATATCGAATGGCATTGTTATAATAAATTTAGACATTTTTTAAAAATAGATTTTAATCGGACTTTACCGATTTTTTCTCGAAGCAGAAATAAAATTATTACATCTTATTTTTTTTATTTGATTAGTGTCGTTTTAACATATATTTTTTGATCCGTGAGTTTTTAATTTATATACTTTGGCTCGTTTTATATTAATATTTATTCCAAATATTAATATAAAACGTGACAAACGTAACAAACAAAATATCAAAGTTCAATTCATTGAAACATCGATTCTCGCAAATGTTACACGTGCGTTCACTTGATTTTTGCGTTTGGGGCAATCGATTAAATCTTTCGTCGTATGTTATGTTACGATACGTTTAAACACCTCGACTGTATACGTACTTGATGTCCGCTTTGCGAAGATAACGTCTCTCGTCAAGTATCCAGTCGGTCCGGCGCTTGTCAAAACAAGCCGCCGAAAATACTCGCCACGTGGATGGAAATAACGATACACCGGTCCGAAATACGCATGCATCGGAAAGAGGATGATGGAACGCGGGTGCATGTCGGGACGTTTGTTTGATGCACGGACGTAGCTAGTGGCGTAACTAATGGCCTCGAACACCCGGCCTGTGAAATCAAAGACTGGAAAAGAAAAAAGAAAAAGCAGAGTGAGAAAAAGAAAGGACAGAAAGGAGAGGAAAGAAAAAGAGAGAAAGAAGACAAAGGAGAAGAAAAGAGGCAGAAAAATAGAAAAGAATAAAAATAGAAAAAGAAGAACAATGAAGGAAAAGAAAAGAAAGAAACGAAGAAAGATAGAAGGAAAACAGAAAGAGACAAAGAAAAATATTGTATTTGTTATCTCCAGACTCATTTCCCTAAAAATAATGTTTTATATAAAAATCTTTTGCATTTTTTAGATCTTTTATTTCTTTTTCTACATATAAAACTATTGTAATTTTGTTTTACTGTACTATCAGTAACAAATCTGTTATATATATATTTACGGCTATTGAGTCTTATATATACTAATTCACATATACACATGTTTGGATTGAAATATACAATATTGGAATAAAAACTATGTAATGCAGCAACCGGAAAGTGGGCCGAGGATGTGCCACAGCTTGTGGGTCATCTAGTAAAGATTAAATAAGTAAAGATCTTAAAATATTCTTTGGAGTGTTACGTACTCGTGTGTCAACGAATATCAGGGCGTTTCGCACCACGGACGATGAATTTATCTTGGCACTCTGGGGAGTAAATGACGTCTAGGCACTCTCATCGAACCATCGTAAGAACGACAAATTCACAGATGTACTTGATGACAGGTTGGGTGTAACATGGCAATTAGAAAAAGATGACTTCTTAATATTGACATAATTTGCGGCTAAATCAATATTATGAAAAAAAAATAAAGATTTAGAGAAATGTAAGAATATAATATATTTTTAGGAATTTAGAAAACGCGATTTTTGGCTTAAAAATATGATCAAAGATTTAAATCTTTTAATGTTTAAGAATTTTTAATGAAGTCAAAGATTTAATTTGTTATTTTCTAGCACTCAATTTAACTTTGTCAGTACATATAGTCATATTATTTTTTCGTTTATTGTTTATATTTTTTATCTTTCGACGATTGTAACTTTGAAGTCACATATATACCTAGTTCTTAAATTTGTTTTTATGATTATAAATTTATTTAATTTAACTTATTTTTTGAATTGGTTTAAAAATTTTCTATAAAAATTTGCTCAGTAGAAAGTTGGAGATTTATAATGAAATACCAATTTAATAATCAAGCCAATTTAAATCAAGAAATGTATATAAACAAAAAGTTTTACTAAATGTTAACAGAATGCAATTGTCTGAAAACAAAATCTTGAGAATATTTCTCTTATATACGTCAGAAGAAGTTTTAAGTGTTTTAAGTCTTAAGTGTTTTAAGTTCTCGAGACATATGAGAATAATTAGGCTGCCTTTCTTACGGTCTTTGCAAATCCCTCGACTATTCGCAATGCTCTTCTGTAGAACAAGGCTGCAAAGTCCTAAAATCCCCGAAGTGACATTTCCGCCTTGTTCTTATTCTGACATCAAGGTCAAGCACGAGATTTTCGCGTAATTAGAATTGACTAATGATTTCGCTAATGGCGCGCATGCTTATGTTTCTTGAGCATAGAAGCGCGGACGCGAAATGGTTGCAAATATCGGATGACGTGATATCCTGCTCTGTTGTTGCGTAACGCATTGCAAGCCGCTTATGATCTAAAAATTTATGTATCCGTTGATTTATCTGCCAATTATGACGATGTCGCAAGCGCGATGTATGCATGTAACAACCGCGTCTGTTACATCACGCGTCTATTTGCTACGATGGGGTGACTCCGGGAAACCGAGGGTGGTTCGTCGCTTTGAGCTGGCCCGGGTATCCAGGGTTCGTTGCCATAACGACACCCGAGCGATGGCTAACCGCCTCATTCTGTGGTATAACCGGACGTGAACGGCGTAGGTGTTACAGGTTAAAAAATCTGTGCGACACGCTCTAATTAATCGGCTGATGTAGGATTCGATTTGTACTGTCGTTAAATGCTAATTGAGATATAATAGACAAGAATTTATGCACAGTTAAGGTTGTTTTCTGTAGCAAATATTCAGTAGTAAAATTAGATTAAAAAATTTGTTTGTTTGTTAAACAAGAGTATATTTTGGAGTGATTACTGTTACTTATATTGATAATGAATTAATGTGTTAACTAAATAAATAATTATTTTAATTCTGGAGTAATTGCATCATGGATTTGAAATAAGAGTTGTGGGAAAATTATAACTCGTTGCTTCAATTTTATACAATTTCAAGATTTATTTCAATATATATACAAAACATTGCTTAGCGGAGGCCACGTACGCCGGCTTCCTCGCAAAGGTTCCTCCATTTGTTTAATCAATTATATACAATAAATTCGGACAGTATAGAGGAACGACAGTGAGAGATAGTAACGATTGTCCGTTTGTCGAAGAGATTTTATAATAGTACATGCTCCCATGTTTAACGTACAAATATAGAAATACGCGTCCGCGATTTCGACAACTTGTTCTTCGCGCCGATCCTGCAGTCAGGATAATGATCAATTTGTGGAGTCTCAGGGCGGGTTAGTTTGCTGAACTTAATATACCCGAATTCCATATACTCTCGTCAATGATCTGAACGGAAAATTACATACGCGAGCCGATAAAAATAAATCAATGTCTTTTTTCTACCGCCAGTATTTTTTTGGAGTTCAGTCTTATAATTTTGCATTTGCGCCAAGGATATTCGTGCAGTATCTCGTTCGCGAAATATGAATTGATTCAGCGTATAATTACGTACAATTAAGAATAGAAATTGATGCAGTTTTTGTGATTCACGGATTTGGATTTCTGTAAACACGCAAAAATGATCTCTGCATTTATTCGTATTAAAAATGCAATAATTTATACGAGATACATTTTCTCATGTATCTCTATAGTATTAAAGATTAAACTCGGTAAAATTATACTGAAATTATGTTATCGCGATAATTGTAGTTGAAATTGTTATGAGACTCTCTGATTATGTATGCATTAATTCGCGTGAATCAAGATACCAATCGCTAGATGCAAATGATAAATTCTGCAACTAATTTGTTGCGGAATGCGTGTTTTATGTGTCGTTATCCGTGAGCATTTTAACGCAGGATCGTTTGCGAAAAACTATTACAACTGTTGGAATCGTAACGCGCATTACGTTTTGCCTGTATTACCGTTACAAAGTGGCGTAACTAATCGTACAAACGGAATTTCTACGCACTACATCATAAACTGCTACAAGAATATATATGTGTACTATATCTGCCTACATACGTACACACGTATATATATAATATATATATATGTACATGTCTAGAACACGAATGTGTATATAAATGTATTTACATCTGTATGATTTACAGCTTATCATTAACGATACTTTCGGTAACCATCCATCTCGCACATTATATTATACGTCAAACTCTCTCGGCATTTTTTCTTACACCAAAATTTCACTTAGTTTGAAAGGTAGAATGAATTGTATATATTTTTCAGTTTACATAACGGAAAATTGAAACTTTCCAGTTTGTTTAGTTTGTCGAAGTTCATTGAATAAGAATGGATTGTTTCCGAAAACCTACGCTACACTTGGAGACGCGATCTCCAAACTGGGAATCCCTGGATTATACAGTCTTCTTGCGTTGTTATCTCTTGCTTAAAGATCGAGAGATTATACCGTTATAGTGTGAACAGAAACGACTACTATCGAGTCGAATGATATATAAAATATCTCTAAAGTGGCTGTCTAACCTTGCGCCTAGTCGCGCATAAGGCAACACTAAGACCATCGGTTTACCAGGACAACTGACTAACGCAAAAATCATATGCACTGGCATTATTGTCTCTACAGTTAGTACACCAAGCTAACCATACCAGCTTGTCATCGCTCTTCTTTCGGTCGAAGAGCGAATTCTTTTTCTCTACTTAGACACGTATATATCACATTTACATACACTTAACCGCAAGGGGCAACTTATCTTTCGAGATCCCGAGACAACATAAAAATTCAAAAGACACTTAAACGATGTCGAGAGATCGCTTGAGAGATTAAAGTGTCTCTTTTAGATATCTTTTGCTCATTTATGTTGCTTTCTCTTTTAGGGATTATTAATTATCGGGAATTCTTTATACCGATCACTACAAGTATCATTGTCTTTCGAATTCTTCCAATTTCCGTTCTTACTAATTAAGGAAGTTCATCGATAATTGGTCCGCTCGTGTGCAGCACTCTGGAACAGAGCTGTGTTTTGTATTTTTCTCTTTCTTTTCAGAGAATATTCCGAACGAATTATTCGGGAAGTATCTCTCGGCTATGTAGGTCCTGGTTATTTGGCACATCTGTAAGAGTTCGACATGTGAAAGCTGCCTATGCGGAACTTGTTCGGTTCTTCGTGAACAATCCGAAGGCACGGCTCGCTGCAGGTTCTCACCATCTCTCACATGTCCTCTGTACTGAAGCCACTGATCAGGCCGGGCTCCATGTCGATGTTAGAGTCGCACTGCATTACCCATTCCCATATTCTCTTGGTAACGACTTTCTGGTCCACTGTGGTCTCCAGGCCGTAGCTGTTGAGCAGCTTCCTTAGCTTGTTCTTGTTCTCGTCCACATTGTGTCGGTCATCCAGGATGGTGTCGAGATAAAGCAGACTGTCGCCTCGCCTGGCGAGGCTCTCGCTCACGTCAACCGACGTTGACGTCGCACTATGGCTAATCTTGCTGATACACCACGAGTCCTTCAAGTACTTGTTGATCTCGGTGACGTGCGGTCTCTTCTCCGGCTTGTGCTCAAACGCTCGTCTGAAGTATCGCAGCAATCGGGGGGTGAATCTTCGGAAAGTAGGCGGAATCTTGGTAGTGCGTCGCTTAAGCCAGCGCTGGAAGGCCGAGTAGTCCAGGTCTCGAATCGGGTCAGCGCTCTGCCACGGCGGATTGCCGGTCAGGCAGACAAACAGGACGATGCCGAACTGCCAGCAGTCCGAGCTCCTCTTGCACGCGTATCTCTCATTCTTGATGATCTCGTGAATCTCGGGTGGTTGAAACGGCACCCACGTGCAGCGGATCTTGTTCACTAGAGTGCCCTCGCGTCTCGTGCAACCGAAGTCGCATAGCTTCACTTTGCTCATGTCGTGAGCGAACACTAGTACATTCTCCAGCTTGATATCGCGATGGGCTAGTTGTTTCGAATGAATGAAATCGAGGGCTGAGGCGAGTTGGCCGGCGATCCTCTTACACGCGTCTTCGCTTAATCCGCCGGCCTTCACGTTGCCGGCGAGATCGCCGTACGGCGCATACTCCTGCGCAAAGACGAAACATTTTTCCGCTTTGAACGCGACGGCGTATGAGCAGAGTATATTAGGATGCGGGCTCAAATGATATGAATAATGGAACTCTCGGAAAAAGTCCTTTTCCGATGTGAGTTCCTGGTGGACTGCTTTGAGAACCACTCTCGTTTGCGTCGCTCTGTGCGTCGCTAGTAAGACTTTTGCGAAACTACCTTCGCCTAGGGTCTTCTCCACATTGTACTCCTTCGATAGGTCCAGCTCTTCGAGAGGCACCTCTTGCACCTTGTGGATGCCTGACTCTTTCTTCTCGTGTAGCTTCATCTGAAATAAAAATAAAATACAAAATTATTTAGATATGTCCATTTTTTGTCAGGCATGTAAAATGTGATAATGCAAGCAAACGTAGTGAATAATGTTTGAATTTCGTAAAGATTGCAAGAAATGCAAAAAGAATTTAGATATTTTCAATTAACATTTTATTTTTAATTGAATTTATATTCAAATATTTTTATTTAATTATATTCTTTAATATTTGTATTTATTATAATTTTTATTCGCCGCAGCCATAACAGAAGCTGACTTGTTAGTATTTGCTATTTTCGTTATGCACAAACCGTCTCCTCCTACACGTCGAGTGCGGAAATTAGAATTTCATCTGTCGGAAATACGTCAACGTTGATTTCATACTCGGATAACGCTGTCGCAAAGAAATATCGTTTGTGTTTCATAGGGACAATGAATCAAACACATATAACCGCCTACGATCTCGTCAACGTGACGAACGTACGGTCGTATTCAGGAGTATTCCCACGCTTCCTTCCGCAAAAAGATAATATTCACACTTTTCCCCCGAACATGCAATACGCGCGTCCCAGTTCATAAATAGCAACGCGTAGATCAATCGCTGTTCTGGAGTATGATATATCGCGAACACGTGCAACTTGATGCTATAGCTTGCACGACGTAGATGTATTAGAAAAAAAAATTGTCTCTATAACATACAATCAGTTTAAAATAACATTTATTTTTTTCTAAAAACTTCTTTAGCTCTTCCGAGAAATAAAGAAAAATATCGAAAATTTGGGAATTATTGTGGAATTTTAGTAAAGTAGATGATAAATTTTATTTTTTTTATTATGTATTTACAATTACAGAAATACAATTTATTTTAACAAAATATTAATTTTAATTTACAAGTTGGTTGCAAAGATGTATATAGACAATTTCTAAAATCCGAGGCATAAAGTTTTGATAAGAAAAATTATACATTGATTCGAAGAATTTGTAGGTAAAAACAAGCACGGAAAACCCCGTATTGTATGTACAATAGAAATTGTGTACTTTCCCAAGAATTGACATATGAAATTTATCGGAAACTGTTGCATAACGGAAACATTAAGCAGACATTGATCTATTCAGCGATAATCCTTGTATATTCGGCGTTTTTCTTCCAGTCCTCTCTCTTTGCGCCGCGTGATCCCGCACGTGCGTCATAGTGCCCGCGCTGCATCTGTTCTCCTGCATAAACGCGATCGAGTGTTATGTTTTAGCTCAAATTTACGATCATGCATCTCGTGAATCGATAATTTGGTCGAATAGAGTGCGGAGTAAGAGAGATTTTTGGAGCATCGCCACCAGAGATAGCGATTCTTACTTTCTTTAAGGCGCGCATTACTTTGCGATTTCTCTGCCGTTCTCGTTGCAGAGGGCTGCACTCTCGCGGTGCAACGAAGAGAGCCGAGCCGAAGGGTGGCCGGGTGAACCCAGGACATTTAGACCCTCACTAGATCAATAGCAAGGACCGCTTACGGTTGACGGAGCCTGGTCGGCGCCGAAACTTTCCACCGGACTCGCGTGAGAATTTTGCTCACAACGTAGTATTTTCTTCGATTTATTATCCCAATTTCCTCAATAGTGGATTTTTTAATAATAATTAACAATATTCCATTTTTCTCAGTAGAAGTTTCTTCCGTAGCAAGAATTATTAAAATGCACGAATTTATTTAAGAACCAATTAAACTCATTGCAAGAACAAACGCGAAGGAAAAAAGAAGCTAGAGAAGATAAATATAACAGATAGATAATTTTCTTTTAATTCGGGCAAAAATTTGCCTAAAACATTTAAAAATTTTATCCTTTTCATTTTAAGGATATCAAATTGAAAACTTTGGCAATTAGATAAAGACAAAGATTGATTGAAAATACATAATAAATTACTAATTATTGCCAGTGAGCATATTTTTCTTGCGGCTTTAAAGGAGTTTTTAAAAGAATTAGTACTTGCGAAATTTTACATATACTTACTCGCTACTCAATCTATTAAAATCTATTGTATGATGCATTACATGATAATTTATTGAAACCAATCTGTCTTCTAAAATTATAAATGTTGAATTGTAATAATGCTTTTGATTGATAGCGAATTAAATACATAAAAAATAGCGATTTTGTGTTATGCCTAATATATTTAGGCTTATTAATTTTAAAATAGGATTTGAAATGACTCAAGAATTGAATTATATTTATTATTAAAATAGTTTATTTGTTCTTTAGCTGCAATATATAGATTATTGATAGATGTCTAAGTTACACGAGAATAAACATTTCGACGATAAACGTCTATCTGTCGGATCGTCATAAATTTCTGGAAATTCGAGACAGCGTAAATGTCATCCGATGAAACGCATGCAATACGGTGCGAATGGGTTTCATGGGTGGCGTTAATTTCGTATATTTTATTTTACGTGTTTTAATAATTCATCATTAAAAACGGGCCGCGCGACAAGCTTGATTCGCGCTAATATTGTGCTCTTGTATAAATGTCAGTATTTAAACTTTTGTATCATAATAATTTTAATTTCCACAGACGACGGATAGCATTCGTTTCCCTATTTTCTGTTTATTGTTTTGTGTCACGGTTATTTTTTCACATTACTACCGGCTCGCACCGGTTAATTCTGACAAGCTTCAGAGACATAGGTATATTTAGCATTTATGTTTACTGGGTACTCTATTTTCATACACGCGAGAAGTTAGTGGCGTTATACTTTAGCGTGCGTGCATGCGTGTCGTGCGTTTAATGAGACAGTTTAGCAGACACGCGTATATAAAGATTGACAAGGAGCGATTAAACGCGTCACAAGTGTCGCGGAGATCTTTTAACGTGTTAAGTCGTTAACACGTTATATCTTGTAGAAGTATGCTGCAGCATCAGTTATGGCAATTTATTATATTTTATTGATAATTTATTTCGATTTTTTCACTTGTTATCACCTTAACATTACTTTAATTTAATGCTATAAAATTTCGGAACTATTTAGTATAATATAACGTTAACAGATAATTAAATTTGTTTTGTTTTCATAATATATACGCTTCTTTAATTCTCAGTAGGTATTATGAAGTCTCTTAAAATGTTGTGATATAGAAAATTATAATTAATAGCAAAATAAGAAATAAAGGCTTAGACGAAATATTTTTCTAAAAATAATTTTTTTATGAAAATTAATTTTAATAAATTTTTAAACATAGGATTATAGGACAATGTCAAATGTTTAAGAAGATTTACAGTTAGATTTTCAGTGATGAGAATTAAAGTATTGTCACTGAGTGAGATAATGTACAAATGAAATTTATGCAAGACAGGAAAGTGATAATATGACAGATACATACCACGACAGCGAAATCCGTTTGACGATGGACAGACACGTCACTCCACACTGGCACACTGCGGTCAATGTATATGCCGATAGATACGCGTGTCAATTATTCTCTTGCTTAATTAAATCTCGGTTAGCGCGTCCCCTTCTACATCTTCATCGTCGCGACACGTTTTGACACACGCGTGTGTCAGCTGGTCACAAATATCACGAACGCCGAATGAAGTCAGCGCGCGTCTTAGGAAAATGATGTCAACCGTGTTCCGCTGACAATTTCGCTTTCAGAGCAGGTGTCACTTGGAGAGACGAAGCACAGAAATAGAGACTCGGAGGTATCGATACGACGGCAATGCTCGGTCACATTTTCCGTGGTGCGCGTATCTCAACGTCTGGAGCGTCGTGACGTTCCGCGTCGCTTTTATAGACCCGGCCGGGAGGCGCGCAGACGTAGATTGTAAAAGGGTGACGACGGCGACTATAGGGTAGGACAAGCGTAACGCCGCGTCGCACGGTGGCTTTTTTTAACGAACACATTATGCGAATCGACGAGTCGCGTGTGTCAACGGCAGACACTTCGATGAATAGGGAAAGAGTTGACCGGAACGCGGGATTCACCGCAGAATTTTTTTTTTTTTCCACGTGCCGCCATTGATCGGTTATGCGATGCATAGAGATTATTCTTAGTCTATGCGTTGCCATAATCACGTTTAGATACAAAGCAGATGCTTTCCAGTTTGATCATTTTGCCGTCATGATCGTAAAAAAATATGATAAATATTAGTGATTGGCGCAAATTGAATGAATCGGATTTTTTTTCCAACTTTATTTAAGTCATCCCTGTTAATTATTTGTAGTTGAGTACGCATTCGATGATGCATTCTCGATTTAGGAGCAAGGATTGGATAATTATTTGAGAGCGTAAAAATTGCGAGCAATAGGGAGACAACCGGAGTCGCAGAAGTTGAGATCAGTTTAAAATATTTTCTACCGATTTATGAAAACGAAAGAAAACAATATGCAATTTTTATTCTTTCAAATCGTTCTTTATCGCCAGTCTGGCTGGAAATTTTACAACATAAAACCATTTCAGTACTGCTCGAATCCACGAAGTATATTTTTGTATCTGCGCGAATGGATTATTGACACAGATCGACTTAAAGTGAATTTATTGACTTTCCACCGCCAGTTTAATATTCCAGTTTCCACGAATATCATGTCAAATAAGAAAGAAGGCAACCCAATTGTGTCTTTATTTTTATAATTTATTGTTACAATTATATTCTTGCACGCACTGTAAGATTTTTTATTATTACGGTGCACATCTGTGATGAAAATGATCTAGAAATACATATCGAAATATCCCGAGTGTGCTATGAATTTCTCGTTTATATTTGTTCTACGCAATACTGTTTTCTTAAATTTACCACGGACGCTGTTAAATAATGCGGATTACGCGTTCGTCGCGAACCCGAATTTACACCTGAAAGTATTTTTAAAATGTATGTCAAGTATACAGAGTTCATAGAGAGGGAGAGAGAGAGAGAGAGAGAGAGAGAGAGAGAGAGAGAGAGAGAGAGAGAGAGAGAGAGAG